GCCAGTTATCAGAATTACCGAATGGGTACGTGCGTGGAATTGCTGGATAGATAAGACAATAATTACGCGTGCGATCTTTTAGAAAGAACATTATAGTAGAGATTGGATTTCGATTGGATTAATATTAAGATCATATCATACACACGATATAATTTGAGATTAAGTTGGGAAAGAAGACCTTGCCTTTGGGCAAAAGGCTTACTAACAGTCAGTGGATGTTTAGACATTTATGAGAAGTAGAAATATAGGAATATATATAAAAATGTGTGCAAGTGAAAATATGAATTTGATATGATACAGAACAAGCAACGATGCTGTAAATATGTCAAAACATATCTATGAAGTAACTGTAACAACCGAAGGCAAGCATTTTTGTACAAGAATTCTACACGTGCGCAATTTTCATTTCAAATTATAGAATTCTCGTGTTTCCCCGCTTCGCAATGACTTATAATGTGAGCACTAGACAGATGATGCCGAGGAACTAGAATTCTTGTAACCTCAATTGGAAGATCGAAGTGGTAGCTAAAGATATGACGATTTCACAGCGCTGGACGACCAGGAAATCACTAAGGGCTTTGGCAGAGAATCGATAGAGTGCCGAGACGTGAGAAATCCAAACGGCTGGCGTCCTACTGCCGCGAAATTGAGTCCATTATCGCCCTGGCCAGGTACCCTCCAGTACCATCGATATTCGTTTAACGCGTCGTTTCTCCACCAGGAGGGTGACAAACAAGGGTCTGGCAAGAAATATAAAATTTAGGAACCCAGGTCAGTGACGAAAAAAGAAAGTGAAAAAGAACAAAAATCGAAGGCACCCCATTCGAATCGGCGCAAAGGAATCCAAAGAGGAAAGAGAAACAGACGATAACCTACGGCCTTCCAATTCCAGCTGCATCTCCAGCAAGATCCTTTTCTCCTTTTCCTTCCATTCCGTTCAAGAGAGGGGAAAAATACTCCCGCGGACAGAAGGGAGGAATAAAGAGACTCCTACGATTAAAGTAAAAACTTTATTCATGAATTCCACCGCATTTATTATACCCACTTGAATAGAACCTAACCGCGAACGATTTCACTTCCCGGTCGGGCAATTCGTTCCTCAACAAAAATATTAAAATTCCATTTTTAGAATTACGCAAAAGTAGCGGTTGTTGACAATGGTTGTTGAAAGCTTCAGAGAATACGAATACTGCGGGACCTTGATTATTGCACTAGGGCCTTGTCTGGCGTTTGGAACCAATAAAAGGAGGACTCTGAGCAAAAAGTAACTTGAGAGGTAACAGTGCGGTTATTCTGAGCAAAGCCACCACTCATTGTATTATTTACTACAGTTATTGCAAGAATTTTTACTCCAGTATTCTACAAATTTCTACTCCCTGTAAAATTTCTATTCTACCTCTCCTATTCGTCACGAGCCTCTTCATCACGAGTCACAGTTTCAAGAGGACCTTGCCGAAGGACTCACGATTAACATTTTTCCAACCGATTTATCAGTCAATACTGTTGAAAAGGAACCTATTTATTTCCCTGCATTGAGAAAAGCAGGCCACTGAATCGAGGAAGGCGCGATTCATGGAACGAAGAGCGCGTTGACACAATTGGTACCTGACTCCCGTGGAAGAGTTACGCGAAGAACCTGGTCCAGAACGCGAAGAAATTGATGAAGGGTTCCTGCTCCGAGAGTAACGTCTGGGAAACGTTGTTACGCCGTTGAGACGAAGTACCCGAGAATAAACATCAGGTGGTCAGTTCTCGCACCTTTCAACGAGAACGGCCTGGCTGGGCCGCGAATCCCTGACAGTTTGCCCGCTTTCTCGTAAGTTTACGCGCCATTGGCCGCCAATCTTCAGAATGAAACTGTCGCTGGACGAATGGATTCTCGAAGCGTGTTGCCTCGGGAACGGGCAAGGGCGAAAAAATGCTTGAGCAGCGAACAGGAGAAAAAAAAGCAGGGAAGAAGAAAGTGTTGGCTCGGAAGAGAAACGATAGGATGATCTTGGGTCGGGATGGAATGCTCGTACGAAACCACAAGGGATCCGTAGGCGACGAATAATCACATTTAACACGTTCAACGATACACGAACAATACTCCAGCCCTGCTCTCGTTCAGATATATTACACATTGTATTCCATCGGCGAACGGCGAAGCTGTAAACGGAGATATTACGCTACGGCGAGCAACTTACAATGCAACTTAGAAACTATCAAGTGCGCCGATGGAATTGCGAAAATGCGAAGACGCGCTATCCTCTAATCTGCGTACCAATAGGGGTGGCATTCGAGCCATTTCGAGACGTCATGGGAAACCGAGAGCGGTCGAAACGTTTCGCAAAACTGTTGGCACTGATATTTTACGAAAGCTTAGATACACTTAGAGATCTTGAGTGGTTTAAATATCTCTGATGGCGCGAATCTTTAGCAAGTGTGTTGAATATATTTAATGTCTTGAATATCTTGAATATCATTAATTTTTATCAAAAATTGTGGATCTAGATCATCTTGGATACCTTGAAATTCTTATAAACCCATAACGCAAGAAACAAACTTAAAGTGTCTCGAAACTATTAAAAATATTTTGTAAATAGTGTTTCGAATTCTCACGATTCTCGAAAGTCTTGAATATCACGTGAGTATCGAATCGGGGAAAGAAATTCAATCTCCAATTATTTCACGACAAAACAATTAAATCTCGTACCAAAGATTACACGAATTGTGCAATAATTTCCGCAGTGTACATCGAGTCCGATCTTCCTTTCTATTTTCACACTGCACAAAGCCTGTTTCCAACCAAACAAGGCAGCCTTCCCCTACTAGGAATGCAAAACAGAACGTAAAAAGAATGTTCACGAATTCAATTGTACCGGGAGCATAGAATGTTGCGTTTAATAGAAATAGATGGTACGCCCCGCGGTGAAAGTTGAACATTAATATTTCAGATGTAACGTTTTAACAAGCGCGGAAGATAAAAGCACTTCAAAGTCGGGTAAAAATCGCGAACGATAGCGTCAGGGGCTTCGCGCTGAAGCTCTTTCTGTTCTTCAATTCACAGCCCCCTTTGAAGGCTTCGGAACAATCATCGAGGGTTGTTTTACCGTGTTACGCGACGACGCTGTTTTGATCCCCTGTTTGATCTCGTCGGAATAACGAAGTGTAAATGTAACGACCAAGAATAACGGTCGAAGCTAGACTCAATCGATCATCCCTTGATTACATACCCGCGAACCCAGTAGGTACGCGCCTTTAAGATTGCTTCTCGCTTTAAAAATTGTTTCAAAATTCAATTTATTGTTGCTCCGTTCATTTCAGAGAATAGAAAAGTGGTTCTTAAAATTGCTGAGTTCGAAGAACAAACTAAGAATACAATATTAATAGGATACAAAAAGAAAGTTTAGGTTAAATTTACATGATTCTATCAAATTTGCGACTACCCTGCTTAAATTGCTTACAAATTATCAATGACAGATATATATATATATATTTTTTTTCTTTACATATATTTAATTTAGACAAATTTTGTTAAGAGACATGGAGAATACAAATACTTATGAGATTGACTGTATGTCCGAACCAATGAAAACTGATTTTGTTAACCAACAAGAATATTAACCACAAGAAGTCTATCTTTTAACTCAGAAAAAGTATCCCCTTAAGAAAATTATTGGCTAACAATTCTTCTAAAAGAATTATCAAAGACGCCTGACATTCGAGGAATTGAAGGAGGATCCGTCAAGTTCATTTGCACGCAAGGAACTTCTATTCACGCGCAGGGGAAAAAATCATCGTTCCGATGACTTTTCCGCCTCCAACCTGGGAACTATCGAAAGAAACACAAAGGGGGAAATGGGAAGCCAAAAGCCCGCGAGGAAGACAACCGCAAAACTTTTCCCTCGTTTCCCCGATATCGAGAGTCGGCGGAGAACAAAACTGGGACAAACTTTAGATGAGGGAATATCGATATCATCGGCGAAAAGAGACAGTATTATTCTTCCGTCGAAGATTACGAAACTAGGAAGCATCGGTGTTAGCGACAGGGGTGACGTAAAGATCCCCGGAGTGATTTCGAGGAACGATCCGGCTGGAAAGCTTTTTGCGAATGCTCATTAGCTTTACGATCTCGCAGATTTACATGAGCCGCCGGTCGTAATAGGTCGTTGAAGAAGGTGACGATAAATTTCGTATTCTAGTGCTGTTAGATTTACAGATCGTCTCGTCCGCGGAACAGCCACGGTAATTTAACGCGCGTTTTGCGAGGCATCTGTTTATGCACTTCCTAGGACATATCCGCGGAGCCAATCATATTTTCACGATGAGAAGATAAGTCCGCCTCATTACCGCGGTTTCTTCGCTCGCTTGGCTCGCTTCTGATGTAACATTTTTCCCCTGATTCCCTTTGCTAGATATAGCGAACGATGTACTTACAATAACAAGCAAAAAAGTAGAATATCGTTTCGATTGGGTTGTAACTCGAGCAATTTTACTGGGACCGTTGTATACTACGGAGGGTGGGAGGGCGCCGTTATTCGTACGTGTAATTAAACATGCGAGGATTGGTGCTTTTGTAATTTTGAAAAGTAAACGGTCTGGAAATATCAGAGCTTTGATTAAGATTTAGTATTCGTGTAGAGATTTCTTCTGATTATATAATAGGCTGTTTTATACTGAGCTGTTATAACGTATATATGTCTGTAAAAAAGATGTTCGATTTATGAAGCGATCAAAGTGGTGTAACCACTTAACCTCTTCACGCCCCTGGCCACATATGTCCCCGAAGAGATTAATAAAAACAGTCATAAGTTCGAAAAGATTGGACTGCGATATTTATGAATTTATGACAAATGTAATAGAGAAAAATGTACAAGGATGTGTACAAATGCATAAATATATAAAAAATAAACAACGAAGTAGATTTACTTTTGTCACCCCCTGTTAGTCAGTGTCACATTCCGTGCGACATTTTGTGTTTTCTCGTTAAGTAAGTAATACAGACAGTCGTCACTTACCTTTAGACGAAGATCGTTGACAGTCCACACCCGGCTGGCGTAGTCATTGGACGCTCCAAGGATCAGGGTTCCCGTTGAGTCGAAATCCACAGACATCACTCCAGCGTTACTGCCAACGAGGGTACCTCTGCTCTCTGAGGAAACTGAAAACCATACACAATAAAATTAACTGCGTGACCAAAAATTACGAGAAATAATAGCTACAATTTTCTCGCTCTGATACATGTCACAGATAATCTTAGGAAAGATCCACTATCGGATTTTCAAGATCTTTCGAACATGACTTATCCACCAAAAACCTCGAGAGTCTATCGACAATCTTCTTTTCAGACTCGATAATCTGATAGAACTGATCTAATGGGCATTATGTGTAGCTAGGTATGGGAACAGGATAGATAATAATGCCAAGACAGGCGAAGGGGCTCAACTGCGAAGAGAATTTGGAGAAGGAGAAGACAATGTACAGAAGTGTTGAGAAAGTGGGAGATCGTGGAACGTGCGAAGAACCGTGGGAGGGCAGGTTAAGCGGATATAACCCGTACAATAAGGACGGATGTTTCATCCAATTTGCAACGTGGCGAGGGGATTACACTCGAGCACGTTATAGCATGTGCGATCGCTCCGCCATAGCGGGGAAAATGTTTCTACCGGGAGGCAGGGTTTTAATAGGCGCCTCTATGCTCACCTATACACTCACGCACGGATTGCACCAAGTAACCTGTTGATTCGTTAACATACTTCATTAAATGGGTGGAAAAGAGCTTTTCGTGACAATGTCACGGTTTGCTTCGCCTGATATCCTCCCCCCCCCCCCTCCCTCAGCTTCTAAACAATTTCAGCCACTCTGCACCCCTCAAATTTATTACATTCTTCGAAATATCTATGCCGTTTTCAATCATACTTATGATAGTGTAAACACTTTAAGTGTGTATATTTTTGATCATATTCAAACCAATATAGTCCGCACAAGCACGCGTTATTTTAATTTGTTGGTTTAAAACAATGCGAACAATCTTCGAATTACATTTATAATATTGTTATACACAATATGCCAAAAAAGCATAGTTTATCTTCATTTGTAAATTTATTTAAAATAAACCACCCTAATGTGAACTACGTTTATGACAATATTAAGATAGAAACATTCGAGGACAAATTTAAAGCTTGTAATCGAGCAATTCCATTGATTTTTCTGTGAATATAAAAATATTGTAATAACGGACACGTCTATATAACAAGGTACCAAGTACAAATAACAGAGGAATTAATATACTTAAACACGCAATATTCAGCGCAGACGGGAGGAAATAAACGGGGAAATATTAGTTCGCGTTACATAACGTTGAAATTGATAGCTGCTGCAACGAAAGCACGCTGTAATATCAGTCCTCTGGTAATTACCCCGTTAACACATTTTATAATTCAACCATTGAATCGATCATTCGTTAGGATAGCCTCCAAACGATTTACCCGAGGCAACGTTATCGCATAATTCTTTCCTACCTCCCACCCTCGAAATGAAACTAGCTGTCCGGCACGTATTTGTATTCATGAACGAAGGATGGCAACAAAGTTTTAATTACTTCGTTATGGTAAGTTTTAATGAAGTTCCAAAGTGACTTTCGTATCACTTTATTAGCCCAACCTAGTCGCGTTAAGCACGAGAAAATTATTTTCAATTTCATCATTTTCAATAAACACTGGGCCAGAAAAATGACGGACGATCATAGCGATTAAGTACGCGCGTTTATGACCACTCGAATTCCAACGATTTTTATTAGTTCTGTCATCAAGAATTTTTACATTCGCTCGCCGCGATAACTACCACGATATATTTCGTTTTCCTTTTTTATGCTAGAAGTTATGCGTTTCGTCCTAGGTCACTGTAAGAAACGGCAAATTTACCGTAAACATTAACGTTCTGCTGCGGTTCGTTACGAATACGAATAATAATTTCATTATATACATTAAAGAGTCGAGGAATCTCGATGATAGAACGCAATACTGTCATAGTAAAGGGTCATTCGATTGCACGAGCGCTTCGATAATAAAAGTCATATTTAAATCCTAGAAAACAAACGCAGATCAGTTCATAAACAAGGTATAGTATATTAATTAACGCTGGGACCAGAGACTTAATCCCCTCCAGAAAGTAAACAAAATTTATATTGGCATATATTACAGATTATATTTACATTTATAGATTTATAATTCGTATTGGCAACTTCATAAAAGTAAAATGTAAGGTATCTTTCATGAGGCAGAATTCTTGGTCAGTAAAATAATAAAAAATTGTACCACCACATGATTTCATATATTTAGTGCAGTAAGTTTAAACGTTATTTCTTGCATCTCCCAATAACATGAAGACAAAAGTTTGGAGTATTTTTAACGATTAATATATCTATCCCAAGAAGTTTTCTATTTTATTTTTGTAGCATTAACTAAAAACTATTGCCAGTAAAAATAATAATATACCGTAAAGGCATAAATCTTCGTTTTATAATAAACTAATCTTGCTTATGCGACGCTTATTCACGTTTGTTTCGCGAGCTTGACAACCGATTGTTCATTTCAATCCTAGACCAGAGTTCCAGTTATATGATTTTTATTTTTGATTAATCACCTTTTGTAACGTTCCAAAGCTTCACTTTCCTGTCGGCTCCACCGGTGGCGAGGATCCTGTCGACGGGAGACCATTTTACGGCATAAACCTCCCCGTCGTGTGCGTTCTGTAAGGGTTACGAAACGCTTGACGTATGAATTTTGAAAAATCCGTGCATGCAGGAAGCGATAATTAATGTACCAAGCGTATTTAATGACCATTATCCATTTCATTTGATTTACATGAAAACGTACAAACGGAGAATAATCAATTGGAAAACATTGAAGTTAGAACTTAACACTAAGTTTACGAAGGTAATTTCGATAAAATCCGAATTTCACAAAGATAATTACAGAAACCTCTAACACTTTTTCTATAAAGAGACAAACATACATAAAAATTATCAAAAGTGATCAAAAAGTTCTTAGAAAATAAACGTAAAAAAAATAAAAACACTGCATCGAAAATACTTTCCTAAACCTTCGTAAACCTAGTGTTAACCATAACAACATATCACGAAACTTTGAATACTCCCACCTTGTACAATTAATATAAATAATTCGTTTTTCTACAAAACTAAATTTAAATACGGTTCAAAATATATTCAAAACGAAAATAACGAGAAATGGTAGGAACGTTTGTGCCACGTAAAGATATTACCTAATTCTAGATTAATGACAAAAAATGTTATTGTAGTCAGTAGAATAGCCATTTACGGTTCAGAATATAAATCTACGAGGAAGTAAATATATACATATGTTCTAGAAACTTTACGAGTTAATGACAACAGCCATACAGGTCAGATAACGTGAACCTAAAAGATTTGTACACACAGTTATAATCGTACCACGAGATAAAGTATGCTTTTAAATGCGGCTATAAATTTATACTGTTTGCAGTTTCCATGCATGAAACATATCGAGCGTGATTATGGTAATGTACATTACGTAGAATACTTTAACGATGCGAATAATGTTCTCTTTACCAGACATTACCTTTTGATACTACACGCGTTATAAACCAACTAAAAAGCTTTCGCGTTTCGTTCTTTTTTTTTGTGTTAAATGTGTAAGTACTGAAACACATTTTGCAAATAACCGTAGGGCATACGTGAATCTCGGCAAGTAACTCTAACTAATAGTGCTAAAGAAACAAGCGTATAAGAATTTACTATGTTCGTATAAAATATGTAAATATAAAATTCAAATCGTGTTCCTAAACCATTTATGTATTAATACATCGATACATTTATAAACACAGAAGAAACATACTCAAGTTAAATAGTGTGACATTTTAATACTAGTATTAAATTTCGCATATTACAAATAATATGCTGCCCTTACATATACTCAACTAGAACATAACGGAGGGTAAACTTTATACGTTTGAAGATGCTACCGAACCACAGACTAGTATAACACGTATGCTAGTACTCCAATAACGTAACATGCACAAGTATGAAATGTAAGATTTGTAAAAAATAATAAGAAGCACTCGACAACCATGTGTATTCCCATCCGAATAAAACTATAATTATAAATACTAGATACTAACGTAAACCAGAAGACATTATCCTGCTGTAAATATTTTAATATGCCAAATACAATCTTTGCTAACAAACTACGCTGCTAATTGTAGAAAACTCTCAAATGTCGTCAAAAAAAAACTGATCAACAAAGACAGATCTTTTAAATATATCTTTTAAATATGTTATATATATTAATATTATGTACAAATATTATATATATATATTTTTTTAGTACCCTGCACTTTAATAAAATAAATACTATATCAGTCAATCTAGCCTTTTAATTCAGGTATATTTATAGGAAGTAATAACAACGATACATTTATTTCTTACTCATCTAGAGATACATACGTGATGTACAGAATGTCCCTCTTGAAACGAGGCACGCAATTATCTGCTTTATTTTTAACGATATGGAAAGACATTTCAGACACAGTCGGGCTGGCTTCAAAAAATGAACGGAATACAACAAAAAATTATTTGGAAGATATTCTTTTAAATATTTTCTAGAGTCAATTTTATTCGAAATCTGGCGTCTTGTAGAAAAATTAACACAGTTACACTTTATAAATACCTTTAATTCGAAAAATCATTGAAATTATACTAATCAATTTCTAATAATTGATAACTTTCCTTTATTGACTAAATCTGGAACAATTTCCTGATCGACAAAAATAAAAGAGATAATCCGTCGTCGATCCGTTTCGAATGAAACAATCTGCATAAAAAAATCAATATCCAAATCAAATAAGTTACACGTTTGCCCGATGTTTGAATGATATCGTATTATCAGTGCGATAACGAAACCTCTCGAAAGTGCAAACAAGATTGCTACAAAAATACACCTATTTTAAATTTAACGGGACGGTATAACTATCACGTTCAACATTTATCGAGGAGAATAAATAAACAAACAAATTTGTCGAATAAACTGTCCTGTGCAAAAAGATTACTTGACTGTAACCTATGAAAACAACGGGTTTCTTCGTACAGATCTCTGCAAGTATAAAACCAAATTCACGTAGAGAATTCTGTGGGTGTCCCACTCGCAAGTCTCACATAAATTTCATTTGTTATACAATTATACTACACACTGAATAATTTAGTACTTCTCTCCCGATCCCCTAGAAACAAAATGATCGAGCGGACACGCGACAATACTCTGTAATACTAACAATACTAATTGTAGAATTAAAGAAATACTCGTGTAAAAGTCACCCAATAACTCCTACGCGATACAAGTTCACCGAGTGATCGCGCATCACGTTTTGCGTCCAACAAATTTCTTATTCCGATTATACAAAACATGCAGCTTCGTGTTACAACGAATTAATTAAACATTTGTACGAAAAATTTCCACAACGAGAGCATGATGTGAAGTATTTCATAAATTAAATTTTTGTCAACGTACAAACGTGACGGACACTTTTGTCGGTACTGCGGTCGGAAGATCAGCGATTCCTTCTTTTAAACTCGATCGATCTGGACTAACGGGTCGCGTATCAAGAGCAGCGTCCGCCAGCTCCTTCTGCATCCTCGCCTGCCTTTTTCTGGAAAAACAAGAACAAACGTTCCCAAGGTTCGTTAGGCGTCGAAAAGATCGTCACAAGTCGAGTGAAATATAATGTAAATACCCCAAACAAACGTCGATAAACACCTCTCGTCATCGAACGAATCATCCAAATGTTAAACCTCATGCAGAATAAAAGAATTAGTGGAAACATGTCTTCGTTGCTGTTAAATGTTAACGTTGGGTTACATTAGTCGTATTTACTAAACTGGTTGCACGTTCGATCGAAAATTTTCTTTCGCTGATTTACTTTGTTTAATACGTAAGCATAAATTGCCCTTCAAGCTTCCTAGGTTTGCTGGTTGGGAGGAGATATTTAGACGCGTCGTGGATTAATTTCGTTACGCGACGATACATGTAAAGTAACGTTCATTGTGCGTCAAACAAGGACAAATGAGATGTGTGAGCACATGTATGCGATCGTTTGATGCGATCCTTTAGCGAACAGCTCAAAAGCTGCGGTATAGCGCGTTTAAGCATAATTTCTGTCGCGTCGCTTGCTTGGACTTACCCGAACTTTGATAGGGTATGCATCAAAAAGGCTGTCGGACTGGAAAAAGTCTCGCTGAAACGAAAATGTCAAGCAGTCTGATGTGCTAGCGCAAAGAACCCTAACAGTGACAGAATCTCATGTCCCTCTGCGAAAAGCTCAACGTCTTACGAATAGTAAATTAATGGAAAATATTGTTTGTTGTCATGAAAAATCGATCATCATCAAACTAACTGAAGAAGGAATAGTTTAAATTACTTCATTTAAACGTTTCGTTATTTAACCCCTTAAGTTACAACCACGTGTGAGACTCGTGGTCAGATATTCGGGCCAAAACTGATTATCATTGAAATTATGCTTGTTCAGCTATTTTTCTGATGATTGACTGTTCAAATAATTTTAACGACTGTACACGAGTGTATTGTTCAAATTCTTGATGCATGTTGTCTCTAATGACTTCTAGCAAGCATTGAATATGCGTGAGCAATAAATTGCTTGTTATATGAAACATGAAGTGACAAAACTTTCAAATTTGAACATGTTATAGATTTCGATTACGAAATAATTTCCTGTATATCATAGATTCAATGGAAATGATACACGTATTATAGATTGAACACACTTCTAAATAGAGTAGCATTAATCATTGTTAGAAATCAGTGGTCAATTAAAATTAGTAACACTGACTTCGTACTTGACGAAAGACTGAGACATGAAACGATGTAATTGAAGGAATAATTTGTAGCTTATATTAATGAAATATTATTTAAACTACATCAAATATGTGATCGAAACATGTGTACGAATAAACGTGCGCACAACTGACCAACGTTTAAAAAACGCGCGCATCTATCCCCATTTAGACATCGCGCGCAACTACCTAACATTTAAAAGAAACGCACGCGGTAGTAACCAAAAAGTTCGCGGTACGGTTATAGCTTAATATTTCGAACTGTTTTTCTAAATAATTATTTTCAAAACTTAAACTGATGTAAAAATGTCCGAAAAATGGGGATTAAAAGCGGTTTTGTGATATTTTTCTAAATCACATAACTAATTTCCTAAAATTATATAACCTTACATATCCTATGCATTTCGAATTAATTGTTCTTTGTGAAATTACCAAAGTATGTAAACATATATCGATGAAAATGATGAAGTAAAGCAAACCAAACAACAAGAAGTGTAGTTACTAATTTGAAAGACATTGACAGAAAGTGTAAACCAACAAAAAATAGAAACCCACTGCAAAACACCCATCGAATATGTACACACAGCAAGAGAAACCAAGAAATAATATCTTTTCAAAAAACAAAAAATAAGGTGCTACATACAAAAGTATCAAAATTGATATTCTAACTATACTATACTTCAAAAAGAAGCATCCATTCTATCTATTCAAAAACGATACTAAATCTACCAAAGGAGAGAAGATATATCAATATATTATTTATAACCATAACATAAAAAATAATTTACTTTAAATAGATAAAAAGTTAAGAAAAAGAAAAAGAAAATTAATATTAGTAAAAAGCTAATAAAAAACATAAATATGTATACTCACTTCATAAAGTTGTCATTTTCTTCGTTTGCTTTGTCTGCATCTCGAGTTTTGTACTTAATTAAGCGTTCTATTAATAGGCGATTTTCTTCCTACAAGTAGACACAATTTATTAACATATATTATAAGTATATTTATTTTACAAATTATAATACTAAGCTAGGTTAATCCTGTATATGTATCATTGTACAATAGGTACCTGTGTTTTCCTAAGCTTTTCTTCTAATGATGTAAAAGCAAGTTGCAAAGCTTGATGTTCGTCTTTCAGCATTTGATTAATGCCCTCCAATTCCTTTTCTCTTGTAAGGCAGCTAGTTACTTCTAAATGTAGCTTGGCATTGAGTTCCATACTTTCAGCAAGACTAAAAATTTGATACGATATTATTAATTACTTACATTAAAATACAAGTGTTGAAAATGTTTTTCTAAAAAGAAAAGATAGATACCTGGCTTCCTTGGCTTGAAGTTCCTTCGTCATTTCTTGCAGTTTATTATTAAGATCTACTATTTGCTGTGTATGTTCTCCTTTTCGTTTATGTAACGTTGCTAATTCCTCTGCTTGTTTTAAAAGACGTGCCTCAAGGTCAGGATTTCCACTCGACGCAGGAATTCCACCAGATGTTGTTCGACGAAGCGTTTCATTTGCTATTGTTAATTGAATGTTTTCTCCGCGTAATGTGTTGGCACTATCGAACAATCTGTTATCTATAAATTGAATAGAAACAAATATATTTCTTATTCGAACACGTATTTTAAATACGTCTAAAATGGCCCCACAAAAAAAAAGATAACCCCAAGTAGAACTTGTAGATTAAAACTTGATTTGAATTAGTTTACATAAATAGATAATACTAATTAACGTGAGAAATATAAGGTATAAAATCTTACGTAAACTAATGAGATCGGCAAAACAATATGTTTGTCTCCTATTCCTCTCTTGAAGTTGAAAAATTAAATCTTTCCTCCAATTGTTATCTTCTCTAGAAAACGATGATAAACCTGGTTCACTTGCAGCCATTTTCACTGTACGAAATAACTCGTTGATCTTCTCGTTTCGTGAACTGGTTTTTGTCTTTTCTTATCAAAATCGTATAAAAACCATTTGACAGCACAGTTGGTAGATATTTTGACAATCTTCACTTCTCAACATATACAGTTATTCCACACAACAATTAGTTTTGTTCAGCAAAGTCGTTCTCGAATAATAATGGCTATCAACATCGAAAAATCTTGTATTAATCACATGACATTTGGATTTACAGCAAATATTTTTAAATATGAAAATAGCTAGTCTAACCTAAACGTACCAAACACTACACTGTTACCCTGAAATTGCCGGTTATTCGAAATATCGATATATTCTGTTTGCGAGATTGCGATATCTATATTTTGAATATAATTTCACTCGAGTCGATAACTGCGGATAAAATATTTTCCCTTAATTAATATTTGGTAATGATAATACGCCAAAGTAACGCACATAAATTAAAATGAAGAGGAACTAATTCATTGCATATTAAGTATGATATAAATTCGACAGTTAACAAAAATGTGTGGCAGATGATGAAACAGTTTTCCTCTTTATGCAATAATCAACCTCCGCTCGTTATCCAGGTTCGATAAATATTTTATTAAACATTTTAATTGACTTCAATTAAAAAAATGATATGCCTGTACATTTTCAACGATAATGATATGTTTTTTTATAATATTTATATATGAAAAGAAGTTTTTATTTTATTCTGAGGATATTTAAAATTTAAGAATGTGATTAGTGTTTCGTATTAAAATTTAATTCCTATTTAACTGATGACGATAGCTATCGTCGAAATGTAGCAATGATGTATTTCAATTAAGATCTACAAAGTCCAAGGAGGTTCTCCTATAATGAAACATCGGAACAAAAGCATCCAAAAATGTGGAAAAGAAACATGCAAAACTGTTGTTAGCACAATGGAAATAACTAATAGGTTCATATATTTTCTTTTCATATCTTTCGAAATAATTTGATTTAATATTACTAAATTTGAATACCATTAATAAGTCTTTATTGCAAGTATTATACCATTAAAATTAACAGTCCACATAATTTAGTTGTCGAAAGAGTGGTAAAATAAATAAAAAGCAGAAAAATCAGTTTTGTCAGAAACACAGGAAATTTCATACGACTATTGTTCGCGAAGCTGGACCATTAGAATATCTGTTTTATGCAATACTTAATACTGATCTTCGTATGGACCAGGGAACAGCAGCAGCAACAGTAAGAATGTGACTTTAGACTATTTGAAAACTTTTGTAATTGCAGGTTTTCAGTAGAAGTATAATTTGTCGACCCAATAAACAATTACGAACAATTCCACATAAATATTTCCTATTATATATATTTTTATCATTTTCTTATGTTATATAACTTGTTAAATTTAGATAGCAGATGGTCTTATAGCATTGTATAGTAATATGGACTCTCACCAAGTAAAATGTCAATATATTGATCATTGGATAGAACATGGGTAATGCATGTATACATTAGTGCTTTCGTTGTATTTACGTTTACGTATGCTCGTAATTAGTTTACCTTTTGCCTAATTATTCGTAAACAGAAGATACGTATAATTTACTCAATATATTGTTTAACCACAGAAAGAGAATAATAATCTTGAAAGGATATAATCATAAACATTTGAAGTATCTCGAGGAAGAAGTGAAGTTTATAGCAATTGACACTTTTACAGTTCGTGAAGCTTGGGGTCGAAATAAAGCAATACTAATGTTAGCAGTTTTTGGCTTAAAAGAAGATTTAGAACAAATTTTTGAAGGATTATCATATTTACGATAATAGAAATACATCCATGCTTTATGAATAATTAAATTGTTATACGAATAAACGAAGTTCTTCTGTCTACACATTCTACACATTAATAAATACCTTGCCTCGTTTATTCGATGATTAATGCTTCATACTTCCCTCAATTTCTGTACAGAGTAATTGAGTAGTTCCTCTACCGACTGCTGATATATTTACAATGTTTTTCCCGATTGTTGTTGCAAACTGAATTAAACATAAAACTACGCATTCGTAGTTTTTTATGTATGACCCGTATCACACATCTATTTTACGTTTTCAGGGCACGAGTTTCTTCGATACACATCAGTTACCATCAGAGTATTTATAGACATCTATGTTTTAAACAGTAGACGTGCCCTAACCGTGTGATTGATGGTTAAATGCGCTTGTCGAATCGCGATAGATAATACAAATATTCGTTTCGATGTGGATTGACTAAAAAATTTATTTTGTCAAGCAATGACGGATTGAAAAAATTTATTTATATTTAGTTTCAATATAAATCAACATTTTAGTCAATCGTCGATTCTCAATTGCTTCCAGTGAAACGTAAATTCATTCATCCTTCGTTGTTTTTGATGTTGTAAAATAAATATTTTTGCTGAAACTTCTACATATCATTCATCAAATATTTTTAGACAATTTTTGGAATTGATTCTAGTCATATTCATTTCAAATCAATTTCAAAGTCGTTTTTAATAGATGTTGAGCACCCATAAAATAATTGACATAGAACCAAACCTCCATAACTAGAATCTCTCTAAAGTGATAAACTGTACAAATCGAAGCTCTATTTGAAAAGGAAGATAACAAAAATCATTAAGAACAGTTGGTCGCTTTAATTAGCAATTCTTGCCAACAGTTCGTAAGCCAGATTATATGAACATATCGTAGGACAAAAGAGATATCAGTCTACGCATGAGGGGACTACGGCAATATGGACTAATTTAATTAGTCGCAGGTTTTACTAAGGTTAACTAAAACATCTGACCCCATACGATTCGTAATTTCATCCAATACTGACCTGTTTTTCTCCTTGTATTTTATGTACAATCTCAGATTTAATGTTTAATTAAAAATGAATAAATCTATGTGTACTCCATTATAAAAAGAAAAATTGAAGGAAAAGAAAATGTATATAGTACGCAAATATATACGCATATAGAAAATACATATAACGACATAAATGGCGACATTCTCGCATATCTAAAAGATGGGGATCACAAGGAGTTACTATAAAATCTAAAATGTAATAAATCTGCAATCGTAATGCGCTTGTACAGATGATAAGTTGATAACTTGGTTGATAAGTCGAAGTTTAAGGGAAATGAAAAATGTTTCGAGTTGTAGGGGCTTCTTCTTATCGAAGTTTCGACTTACAGGAGCTTAGTAAGCAATTTCGACTAACGGAAGCATCTAAGAAAAACGAAAGCAATTACAACTATAAGTTCAGATTAAAAATTCAGAACTCGTCATTAAAAAAAAAAGCGAAGAATGGTAATATTTTAAGGCTTGTTCACTATGGTTTAATGACAAAGGACAGTTGGAGAATCGTTTTCTTTGTTTTAAAAAACTTTTTAGACAATATTGTAACATTATTCGCGAGACATAATTACTTTTTCATATACATATAAATTTATATATATATATTAAATACATTCATATACATTCATATATTAAATACAGAAGAACTGTAAACATAAACAGTCGAATACAATCTTAATGAAATGTTTTAAGAAACATCAACAATAATTTCTCGACTTTATTTTTTTCTTTCAGATGATTTTCGACTTATCGAGGTCCAGAGCGTAGTTCGCTAAAGCGCCAAAGGTTGCACGCGAAGCGCCGCCACGCCCGCCCCACCATGCTGCACAGTTAGTCAGAGGGGTCGGAGGAGAAGCTGTTAGTCAGTCGGCGCAGTCGCTCGCCGCGTTTTATGCAACCAGTCTTGCTTCGGAGCGAGTGAATCTACTTCACCAGCCTTTGACAGACGGGGGAAAGCGTGTGCAGTGGCATTGGTGTCCGTCTGGCCGCTCTTGCTGGTCGGTCCTTGTCAATCGTACGATTCTGACTATCTCGACGGGGCAACCGATTCGGCCCGATTCGGTTTTCTTCGTGCCTGAGACATAGTACGATTGTGTAAACGACCGTACTACGTATAGCGTATTCTCGTCAGTTGCGTGCGCTGACTTTGCCTTGCCGGCGAGAGCAAGCCAGGTTCCCGAAAGGCGGTGTCGATTTTCTGTGTGTACGACACCATTGCCATCGCATATCAAGTTTTTACATACGGTCCCGTAGCTCGGTAGTACGGTTGCGAGCTCGTGTCTACCGATCGAGTGCCAGTGCGACGTCAGTCGGGCGTGCTACACGGGTGTATTATCCACGACTGTGTTGTACCTAAAGAAGTGTGTATGTGCGTAACGTGTGCGTAGAGGAAAACAAATTTGTCGCTGCTGGGGGAAGAGAAAGATAGACGGGCGCGGCGGGGTGGGAGAACCGAGGCGGCCGTGAATCCACCGATACGTGGCTGCGTTCACGCCGCCGCATATCCTACACGGCACGGAGGCACGAAACACACAACGACGTCAGCCCAGACCACGGGAGGAGAGAGGCGCGTATCAGCACGCCTTCCAAATTATTGCGAATTCTCGTAGCTTCAACGCGCCTTTTGGCGCGTACACCATCCTCGTTCGGTCGACTTCCTCGACCACCTCGTCGCCACTATGGCGGACGACGAGGTTCTCTTTGACGAGGTTTACGAGCTCTGCGAGATTATCGGCAAGTGAGTAATAGAACCACGAGAAAGAACGAGACAGCTGCGTTCGCAGTAGTGTTAGTCACGGGGTAGAAAGAGAGGGACAGTGCCCGAAATGATAGAAAAGATCCACCGTCCCCAGAGGGTGAAATGGGTATGAGAAACTAAACTCATGTTTCTGGTTTCTGAGCAACGCAGTATCTGTGAGGTATCGATAACGTTCTCGACCCGGTTACAGGCTATGGTAGAATTCCATAATTTTGTTAGAAGATGTGATTCTGAGGTAATAATTTGGAGTTGTAAGAAATTGAGGTTAGGTTAGAAATAGCATCCCAAGCGAACTGCGCCTCTTTGGTACAGTTATCAGAACATTATTTTACGTTTACATTTTTACATATCTGTGTGATAAATGTGTCAAATAAACGGAGTTAATGTAGGGATTGTTAGGAATAGTTTTCGAGCTTCTTGTAGGTTATGTTCAACGAAATTGATTCGATAAAGGGTAAAAGAATTATTTGATAAAAGATATCGTTTAAAGGTAATACATTGGAGCAGTAACAAATTAAGGGTAGGTTAGAAATAATACTCCAATTAAGCCTCGCCTCTTTCGCAGAAATGTCAAATTACTATTTTATATTTTCCACGTGTAGATACACCCTTACATGCAACAGAGACGTTAAATAAATAATACAGAAAAAATGAAATAATTGGTTCAAGTGGCCAAAGAAATACTTCAGCGATGAAAAACTTGTTCACTTTTGCATTCAAAAGCCGAATAATACCAGTATTGCATACATTTAGAGTTATTGGTTTTTTCGGTGAACTTTTGTGAAATTCGTTGACCGAAATTCACTTCTGGTAACAACTTTTGCATACAATACAAAATCTGTAAAGGTTCCTTTGATCACAGCCGAAAGCAAAGTGTTTCCATTTTTGGATTCATTGCGTGTAGTTACATGGGGGAAAGATCTGAAAGTAAATCCTTTTTCAATATCCCGACTGCATACGCCAAATTTATTCATGCTTTGACGAACGTGCTTCGTGTATAATCCTCTATTTTGCGTCTCTACATCAGAGGTAATTTATTTTTAGCTGCAACTTTGTATATTCGATACTTTACCTCAAATTATCCGGAATTCGAGACACCTCGAAGTCTCGAATTTCAAAACTTTAGTTTTAGTTTACACAGAGTGATATAAAAGGACGTTTTGGACTTTGTTTTATGAGAAAACACAAGTGGTATGGAGCATATCTCATTTTCTTGTTGTAAATGAATGCTTTACTTACCTGGAGGCTATTTATAGGCTTTTTAATTCCAATGTTTACCTCCTGAAGTATATTAACTATGTCATTGGTTTTCTACCTACAATGTTTAATTTGGAGAAACAGATAGATCTCTTACTGTACCTTTTAAAGGTAGGAAATTCTGTTCTTAGTTGTAAACTTTTCCTAAACAGAGCTCTAGTTAAAGTGTTAAAGTACACGGTTAGAATTGAACGTAAAAGATGATGTTTAAGTGTCTATTATTTTATTATTAATTTGTCATCGAGGTATACGTATACACTGCACGTACGCTGTGCGTGCAGAGCTTAGGCGTATAAAAGCAATTCATGCGCGCGCAGACAATGCATGCAACGCGTGTACGATGACGTATACATATGACTCAAAAAGGGCGAATGCGTGACAATACAAAAGTAGGGAAAAGGTGCGAGTAAAATATTCCCTGCGTACCATTTCTACAAATTCTTGCCAATTTCTCGCTTCGATGAATTCCACCTGGCAACGTGACCTGGTCCTTGTAACAAATATATATACATTGTCTGTCTAAAAAGAAACCGAATTTTTGCTCTAGAATTTTTTCTAATCCCGCTATCTAGTTACAGATAATAAAAGACCGTGCACAGTAACAATTGAATCGATCGTTCACATTCCGTTGTGTGACTTGAAATATGTATAACGGAATACATTATATGGCTTGTCGGCATACCGCAATGGAGCAACGCGCTAATATTAAGTTCTGCATTAAATTGAAAAAGACTTTTACCGAAACGCTTACGTTATTAAAACAATTGTATGAGGATGAATGCCTAAGCCGTACACAAGTTTACGAGTGGTTCGCTCGATTCAAAAATGGTCGAGAGTCTATTGAAGACGACCCGAAAAGCGGTCGTCCAGACGTCAATTACGGACACTAATATCGAAGAAGTGCGTCAAATATTGGGCGAGAATAATCATGTCACTTGCAGAATGTTGGCAGAGAAGTTGAGAATATCAAAATATTCTGTCCACATGATTTTACGAAGTTATTTGAACAAGCATAAAATCTGTTCCCGTTTTGTTCCACATTTGCTCACTGAGGACCAAAACTTTGCGCGCATTCAACACGCTCAGGACATTATTGAAACGGCTCAACGCAATCGAAATTTGATTAAAAATACTGTCACAGGTGATGAGACGTGGTGCTACCAGTACGATCCGTTGACTAAACGCTAAAGTTCCGTGTGAAAGTCACCAGACGAATTGACGCCGAAGAAACTTCACCCTACTCGCCTGATCTGTCTCCTTGCGATTATTTTTTTTTCCAAAAATTTAAACTTCCAATGAAAGGGACACATTATAGCACCATTTTGGAAATTCAGGCCGCTGTAACTGCCGTACTAAACGGGGTACCAAAACAGGAGCTACAAAGGTCCTTCTAAATGTTAATTACTCGGTCTACATGCTGTACTGACGCAAAGGGAGATTATTTTGAGTAAATAAACGTATGTGTAAAAACTTTACTTGTACTTTTTTCTTTCTATAGCAAAAGTTCGGTTTCTTTTTAGACAGACCGCGTATAGATTCAACCACTTCGTACGCTCAAGCAACTAAACCGTGATTTTTAGAAAAACCTATCATAACACCGCACAACCATACCAGAACAACATTCAGCCACGATAGCAACAATCAATCACCACAACACAACCAAAGCCAACTTACTTGGCTTAACGAATTTAAAAATGAAAATCCTTTGTAGAGAAACCTTCTCTAACACCACGAAACCATATCGGAATAACATTCAGCCACGATAGCAACAATCAATCACCACAATACAATCAAAGCCAACTCACCTGGCTTAACGAATTTAAAAATGAAAATCTTTTGTAGAGAAACCTTCTCTAACACCACGAAACCATACCAGAACAACACTCAGCCATAATGACAACAATCAATCACCACGAGAAAACCAAATCATTCCAGACAACCAGTTCGGATTTAAACACAAACACCCATCCACACACGCTCTACACAAACTGTTTCCAATGTAAACAATCACCTCAATAATGGCCGACTAGTACGAGCAGCACTTGTAGACCTGGAAAAAGCATTTGATTCCGTATGGATCCATCGACTGATTTATAAAATCCACAGAAAAAATGTCCTAAATGGCTCACTGCTGTCATAATTGACATGATCACAAATAAATTGTTTAATACCTAACCTCTCCAGAAAGACGTTCAAGATAGAAGAAGGCCTACAACAAGGAACAGTTAACTCACCTATTTTATTCAACATATACCTCAGCGAAGTAATCAATCTGTTCGACCTCAACACAAACAACCTCAAATCCTCAATAGCATTTGCCGATGAAATCAAAATCTATGTCGCCAGCACCAGACCTTCGTCTATTCGCTTCGAGTGTATTTTTCTTTCTTTAAGGGGCTGCCATGTAAAAAATTTGGGAACTACTGCAATAAAAGATGAAGTAAAAGTCTGATTCCTTAGGTAACGCGCCATTAAAAAAAAAAAGTAGTACATTTACTTTAAAAATCGATGAACAAGTGTTGCTGGTTTGCTCACGGCCTTCTCTATCTTCGCGTAACGAATGTTGAAGCTCTCCACGAAACACAGCAAATACCATTCCACGGCTCTTAATGCTGGCACGTATGTAGGGGATGGAAGCGTTGTGCTGCACTTCTTTTAGGATGCTTGTCTTACTTTTCATCCTCCTCGTGAATCACTCGTGGAAGGTCGTATATGCAACGGTTATATTCTCGGAAAAGTCAGAGTAAATTTACGCAGATGCAGTTTGTCCTTGAACTTGATCGTGGACACTCGTCTATTGCAGACCAGTTAGCGATGAACGTTTTATCGTGTTAGTGTAACCGGATTCTCGAAACGGAACATACTTATACATTATTTATGTCAATACTGGAAAACGGAATTCAATGTGATAATCGATTCTTGGAATTCCACAAGTTGTATTTTTTTAATGAAATTTGTACCAGATGATAAAGATTAAGATAAATATGATGATAAAGGGAGTTAAAATTATATAAAAGCATACAGCTGTACGTGTTAACGAATAGAAGTAGATACTTCTCGATTTTGTGATACATTTGTGTACGGAAGATCAATAGATTCTGGGCACAGATCTATGCATTTACTCCATAGTAGTAACACAGTGTATCTTGCTATCACTCGATGAGACTTTCTAGAGATCAGTCATTTACTGTTGCACTGAATACGCTCGTGTCTCATCCCTTTGGCATTCAGCCAATTGTTAACGGAGATAACGTAATGTTAGATATACTTCCCAGAAGCACAGTTAAGTGTCGTTGATCCCAATTAGTCGTTGTCTATGAAACGATGCGATGGGAAAATATCGTTGTTTCTATTTATGTCTCATTAAGGATCACCTTCCATCTAAGAATGGACATAGTACTGTTGTAACAATAGTCAGATGATTGATTTACCAACCGAAAAAAGGAAATACTCGTTCTGTCTTTAGTATTTGATAAGTTAATCTAGTTTGATGTTTTAATGACGAAGAAAGCTACAAATTTTCAAAATAATTTCTTTTGTGCTCACTTAGAACTGAAGTATCACGTATCGCCAAAGTATCACACATTAGAAACCATCATCTAGCAATACATGTAGTTACTGATACTAGAAATTCATATATTTAAATGAAACCAATAATATTTACGAAAATATAACGTAAAGAGTTTAGTGAGGTAATCATAAATCTCGTCAGAAAAATCTTC